GAGGTGCTGTAACAACCCCGTCTGCTCCGATATCTGGGAGCGCAGCGGGATCGGAGAGATTCCACCGTTTCTCCGGCTGGAAGTCCCTGGCTGGAGCCGTTGCCCGTCTGTCTCGGATGGCCCGCGGTTCCACTCGCTGGTGGCGGTGCCGGCTGCCTGCGTGTCTGCAGGAAGAGCTTCTCAAACGATGCTGTACAGAAGGCTGAGGCCATCGTCCTCGGGAATGAGCAACATGATGTGTTCTCTGATGAATTGAAATGCATCACTACAAAGCAGAGTCTTCGCTTACACAGCCCTTTAATTCATTAATGGCTTACACTGACATAGCGCTCTTCTGGACTCTCCACGCAGAGCTCTTCACAGGTCAGGGGGATCCCCTCCACCCCCACCAGTGTGTCCCCCCACCTGGATGAAGCTCCAGTCTGCTCACACACAGCAGCTCTCAGTGGGGAGGAGAGCAGAGTGATGAAGCCAGTTCAGAGAGGGGGGTTATTAGGAGGCCATGATGGGTAAAGACCAGGGGGAAATGTGGCCAGGACACCGGGGTGACACCCCTACTCTTTTCGAGAGACGCCCTGGGATTTTTAATGACCACAGAGAGTCAGGACCTCGGTTTTACGTCTCATCCGAAGGACAGCGCCTTTTTACAGTAGAGTGTCCCCCGTCACTATACTGGGGCATTAGGACCCACACAGACCACAGGATGAGCGCCCCCTACTGGCCCCACTAACAACTCTTCCAGCAGCAGCCTCAGCTCTCCCAGGAGTCTCCCCTCCAGGTACTGACCAGGCTCACACTGCTGAGCTCCAGTAGGGCTGCCAGTGCTGAGTTGAGAGTTACGGAGCTCATCCTGTTTGTTAAACCACACCCACCACCCCACACAGCAGTGAATTCCTCATGTCAGCAAGTTCCTTGGCGATGTTCTTGTTTGTATCGTAATTTAGATACTGTTATGTTGGCCGCTAGCGTCTGCTAATGTAATGTAAACCGTTCGCATTCGTTTATTCATCCAGTATGTAGTTGAGCATTGTGTTAGCAAAGTTTATGCGCAGCTTAGTCCTACTAGAATCATCTTTGTCATTCGTGCCTGACATTGCACAGTCTGTTAGACTGTTATCTAGTGCTGTAACTATGCTCAGCTCCCTGAGATTCGTGTTTGATTCTACAAGCCTCTTTTCTTCGCCATTGTACAGTTTCGCTCAACGAGACATCAGCCTGTTTCCTGAGAGTTATTTGGATGACAGTTTTGTTTAGCTGATGGGATAACTGGATAAGAGTACGTTTGGTGAGGCCAGGACAACACCCCAGTCGGGACAGAAGGCTCTTCTTTACACAGAGGGGGGTGGAACAAGCTGCCCAGCCCTGTCGCTGAAGCCGATACCCTGGCTTCTGTCAGGACACAGCTTGGTGAGACACCCCAGTCAGGACAGGAGGCTCTGCTTTACACAGAGAGGGGTGGGAGTGTGGAACGAGCTGCTCAGCCATGTTGTTGAAGCCGATACCCTGGCTTCTCTCAGGACACAGCTGGGTGAGACGGTCAGGGGCAGTACCAGCCCTTTCCAGGAGAGCTGAGACTGGGGGTCAGCCTTGCCAGGGGAGGGCGACAGCCTGTCTCCACAACCCCAGCCTCACAGTGCAGGGTCCTACGTCTCTCTAGTCCTTTGGGGGGTCCTAATATTTTGGCCAGTGGGTGCATGTGTCTTTAAGCAGACTTGTTTCCCCCGTGGGGGAAAAATCCACGCAGTTTCATCAGGAGCACGATCGCAGCGGTGACCCGTCGTGACAAACGAGACCCTGAAGAAATGAAGTCCCGATCTTGCGCCTGACGGGGGATTAAATTAGTTTCAACCCCGGACTGTGTAAACATGCCGACGCCTGCTGATGACGTCCACTGTCTGGGACTCTTCGTAAGTGCGGACTTCACACGGTCCGGGCAAGACGAGCGCTGTTTCAGAAATAAAGGAGGGCAAAAATATCATCATTTTTTTTTCTTTTAACAGGGAGCTCCGTGCCGATCACCCCGTGAGTGTGAAGTAAAGTAATGATGTCACCGTCGTCGTCGTCGTCGTCGTCACAATTCGTCATCGTCACAATTAATCATCATCACGTCATCGTCATCGTCACAATTCCAGTCCGAGAGTTGTTCGCCTTTTCGCCTCCGCAGCCCGTCGCTGTGACGAGAGTCGCTCGTTATCCAGGGGTCGCCGGCTGAGAGCGGAGAGTCTCTTCAAGGTGATTACGACAGCCTCACGGCCGCAGACCGCTGACGGGGACGCGCGGTGTCGCATCAGCCTGGGAGCTGCAGGGGCGCCGGCCCGGACGGGGAGACACCCGAGTGAGAGGAGCTCCGTCACCGTGGCAGGGGGTCCCGCAACAGCCCCGGCACGCACAACATCCTACACCCGACACACAATAGCCTACACACA